CACAGATGGCCCCCGCAAGGGGCCCAGCGGCGAACGCGCGCAAACACTTGCGCCCCAGGGCCTCGGTGAGGCCCTGCAGGCGCTTGGTTTTCCTCAGAGCCGCCGCAGCTCGAGCCTTCAACTTAGCGGACCAGACCTTGCCTCTCAGCGGCCTGCCAGAGGTAAAGTCCGAGCCGAGGTTGGTCGCCCGAGAGCAAGCGGGACCGACGAGGGGGCCTAATTCTTGCGGAAAACGCCTCGAGACATCAAGAGAACTACAGACCATGCCAACGTTGTCCATCGCCAGCTTGCACTCGAGCGTGCCCGCGATGACTCGGTGGAGCGCCTTGGCTCCAGCAGTAAGTGCAGCTGCGGCCACCTTGGCTGATCCTGTGCAGCTAAGGCTCAGGTCGTCCACATAAGCATCGAAGTCGGCACTCTTACCAGGGGCCCTTGGGCTTTGGGCGAGGGCCTGATCAAAGGCCTCCACCGCGACCGCACGGACAAGGCTGATCGCAAAGGGGCATCCAGCCACCAGGCCCTTGGACACGAACGTCGGACCTTGGATGATGCCCCCAACGCAAGGAACCTGGCACAATTGACGCTCGAATGGCCAATCGCGCCAGCTGGAGCGGGAAATTGTGCTGCTGGCACTGATGCCAGAGGAACCTAAGGTCGATCTGCACATAGTACTTCCGAAGACCCCAACACATGGCAGCCGAGGTGCCTCCTCGCCTGGTTCCCGCTTTAGCTCTGGAGGCCTGCCTCCAAACAACGCCCCCCCGCTCCCCCGAAGGCACCCGCGGCCCAGTACCTGCGGGGATACTTCAGTTCTCACAGCAGCGCTTCATGCCTACGGGCGCGACCCCAAACACGGTAGAGGCTGGGGAAAGCTCCAATGAGTCGGATCCCCCAGTCGGTTTGGCCAGAAGGGCCATGAGGACCCAAGAGAGCTGACTGAGGAGGGACCCACTGGCCTCCCACACGGCGAACCACAACGCAAGAGCCTTCAAAGCCTCATTGGGGAGTAGGTTGAAGTGGCGGCAATGAAAACCGTCGGCACTGACCGCAGAGCCAGGACGATACTTCTTAGAAGCAGCTCGAATATCAGCAGGCTCCAAAACACGGGCATGCGGGAGAAGGTCGCGCCCGACTCCACCCCCCGAACCCGAGCCCCAAATAGCAGCGAACTTGTCGCCTTCAGCCCGAAGCGACGAGACTGGGTCGCGCACAATGGCCCCACACCGAGACAAAGTGATAGTCGGCTTCCAAGGCTCGGGAGCCCTGATAGCTTTTTGCGCGTTGCGACCTCCAGTATGTATCGATGCCCTTTCTCACTCGCTCGTGCCGCTCTTTCCGCGACTCCGTCGCGGAGGTGGCCTGAGCAGTGGAGTCAGCGAGCGCAGCCTGAGCGATCAGATCATCCAGATCCGAAAGCAGCTCAGGATCAAAATCAGGCAGCAGGGCGCATCTAGCTAAGGCCCCGCCGGCTCTGAAGAGAGGGGCGATGCCCGCGCCTTCTTTCACCGCCACGGCCTCTGGGGGCTGGATGATCGAGTTGAGCACCTGACGCCCAGACCCCTGCAAGGTCGATTCAGAGAGGTAGTACCTAACAGCTCGCAACTGGTTGCACAACCACTGAACAGCGCGCAAGTCAGGCCACTCCTCTTTTCCCGCGGGTTTCAGAACAGATTTCCAGTAAACTTGAGGCCGCTTGCCCCTCATCCCCGGATTTTGAGATCAGATCCCAGGGCAAGCACCACATCCCTCTCCGCAGAGCCCGTCCAAACTTTATAACCAGGTTTGAGAAGTCTACGGGCTTTGATCCCATCCCCAGCTTCCGCCACCCCAAAGGCCTCTTCGGCCAAGCTAAGAGCGGCATCCCAAGAGCCAGGCCGAGCCGAGGGAGCTATGAAAGCGGATCGGCACAGGGCGGTGAGGGGCGAGGCTAGTGTCATCTTCAATTCGGACCTGTGTCAAGCAGAGGCTCAGGGCCCCAGAAGCCACAAAACCGTCAGCGATCAGGAGCCCCCCTTCCCACTAGGGAACTGCGCGCGTCCCTCAGGAGCCGCCGAGGAGGCTCTGAGACGACCGGCACCGCTGGAGGACTCCAGGGCCTCAGGACCCATGTTCCAGTCAGCTCCCACCATGAACTCACAGCCTAAAGAATCACCCCCCCCCCCCCCCACCCCCCCACCCCCACCCCCACAACACGTAACGTCTCCAGGTTCGAATCAGAGAGACCTTCGCCGTGGGCGAGGCAGAGGCTGCAGATGCACACCGGGGCGCGCAACCTGGCGCGCGCACCGCGGTCGCCACAGCTCTGCCAGCGCATGCAGTAGCGCGATCCCCAGCTTCAAAAAAGGCCGAGGCCATCGCGAGCACAAACGCATACCCATCGGTCGTTGAATATAGGTATTTTTGGATTCCCATCTTCCAATCTACTTTCAGCGCCTTCCTACATCAAGAGTCGTGTGGTTTTTCCTCTTCCCTCCTCTTCAGGAGGCGGGGCGGAATCCCAATGTATTTCCAACGCCTTCCTACTTCATGTTTCTACCTACTTCTTCCGACCGATGGGTACTCCTGATGAAACACCTCCTCCTTCCCCAGGAACTCCAGGAGCCCACGAGGTGTTCCAGCCCAGGAGCTTGGGAGATTTCGAGGCTTGGTCCAGAGCCCCCGAATCCGACAGCCGATGCTCCTGCGCGATAGCCACGTGGGCCTGCGAGGTGGAGGGGTAATAGTTCAGGGTGCCCCATGAGTTGGCGTTCACGGTGGTGACCAAGAGCCCCTCGTCAGCCTGATCGCGCAGTCAGTGGCCGCAGCACCCTGGGCAGCTGGGGCTCGAGCTGAGGTTGCTGGCAGACCTTCAAGGGAACGCGTGCAGGACCAGGCCCTTACCGAGCTCGCACCAGAAAAAGAAGCATCGGATTGCGGCAAGCGTGCGACTGGCTGCTCCACCAACGGGGTCGCACCAGTCTTCACACCGTGCGGTTTCCCGACCGCGCCAAGCAGAGGCAGAGAGGAGATGCGAGAGGCTCCCAGGCTTTCTGGGGGCACCCGAATTTCAAAAGGCAAAAGAGGGGCGTCACACGAGACTCCGGCAGTCTCATGGCCGAAGGCACCTTTGAGGCGCCTCAATCACAGAATTCTGAGGCCTGAGACCTGGAGCCAGTCGTAGACACTCCTCGAGGCAAACAAAAAATAAGAAGCTCCCAGGAGGGTTCAAGTCTGGGCCCCCACTCTCAGATACTTGCCCCCTGCCACGCGACTGTACGCAGATCGTAGGTCGACCCTGCCAGATCAAGGGAGGCTTGAAGATTCCTCGAGAGTCTGGTCAACCCTGGCTCGAATGTCCTCATAGGCGGCAGCGCCCTCGGCTGCCGAGGCAGGCTGCGCGCAGACAGAGGCACCTTCAGAAGCCGCCCCAGGTTCAGCAGGAGCCGCGCCAGCAACCTCACCTGCGCCAGCTCCACCTGCAGCAGCTGCTCCATCAGCGATCTTACGCTTCTTGGCAGCACGCCGTGTACGATGTGCTTCGTGCAGTGTTTGAAGTGTTTTGGCATGGTCCGCCACCTGCGCAAACAAATCCTTCGCCAGCTTCGTGACTCCTGAAGACAGTTCCTCCTTGCGCCTCTGGAGCTGCCCCATGTCGCTCGCCTCGACCTCGGCCTCCACCGAGAGATCCTCCAGGATGTGACTGCAGTCAATGAACTTGGAGAGGTCAACCGAGCCAGCAACCATATCTTCGAGTTTGAATGAACCGACCGTGGCTTGAGGTTCCTCCTCAGACTTGTGCGAGCCCTGCAACGCGGCGAGCGAGGCCTTGTAGTCAGCATCCGCCTGCTTGACTTGGTCTCGAACCGTGCGCAGCGTGGCCTCCGCATCACCAAGCTGTTCACGCAAGCGCACCACCTTACTGAGAGTCTGCTCCATATGCTTCCCGAACCGACGAACGTTGGAATGAGCCTGCTGCGTGCGGGTGTGATCCGAAATAACAACAGGCTTTGCGGCCGCCTCCTCAAGACGCGCCATGTCAAGGTACTTGGAAGCCGCTCCATGATCCCCCGCTCGTTGGAGCGACTCGCCCGGAGCGGCCGGAGCGACTCGTGGAGAACTGGCGGGTCTGCGGCGGAGATGGACGGTATTGGTCCCGCAGGAAGTGGCGGGGCACCCCCCCAGCAGCATCTCCCCGCGGTGCATCATCGTGACGGGCCAGTGCATCCCGCATGGAGGGGTCACCTCCGAAATATCTTTTACCTTTATCCTTGCCATTGCCAAGAACACCACCCTTGCCTTTGCCACCGAACGAGCCCTTGTTGCTCACGCCCTTGGAGCCGAAGCCGTTCCCGTACCAGTAGCCAGGAGGACCAGTGAGCGCCCAGCGCCCACTGACAACATGACCAGCAGCAGGAGAAGGAGACGGAAAGCACAGGCGCAGTTCTTGCAATATTCGGCGTTGGCATTGTTCTTCTTGCATCCGCAACTGGGACACACCATGCCCTTCGGTCCACGACGACTGCCTCTGGTAACCCATGGCTCCTCAACTCCTTGGAACTTGATCCAAGGCGCGAGCGAGAAATAATGGGCAGGCGCCATGGCAATGCTGAAATACAACGGTGCAAGAGCGAGAGAGAGAGAGAGAGTCCCTTAAGCAGGACGTCTTGAGATATGAGCCTCCTCCTCCTCCTCCTGCTCGCCCTCCTCCTCGTCCTCCTCCTCGTCCTCCTCCTCCTCGTCCTCCTCCTCATCCTCCTCCTCCTCGTCCTCCTCCTCCTCGTCCCCCTCCTCCTCGTCCTCCTCCTCTTCTCTCCTCCTCCTCTCCTCCTCCTCCTCCTCCTCCTCCTCCTCCTCTCCTCCCCCTCCGCCTCCTCCTCCTCCTCCTGGTCCTCCCCCTCGTCCTCCTCGTCCTCGTCCCCCTCCTCCTCGCCCTCCTCCTCTTCCTCCTCCTCCTCCTCCTCCTCCTCCTCCTCCTCCTCCTCCTCCTCCCTCCTCCTCCTCCTCCCCCTCCTCCCCCCCTCCTTCCCGCAGGCCTGGGTGCACCCGGGGGCCTGAGCAGCAGGCTCTTCGCCGGCGCGCTGCCGCTGGGCGTGCCCGGCCTGGGGCCCCCGCCCGCGGGCGGCGGCGGCGGCGCCCCCGCGGGCTGAGCGTCGGGCGGCCCTGGGCTCCTCCTCGTCCTCGTTTTCCTCCTCCTCCTCCTCGTCCTCCTCCTCGTCCTGGTCGTCGTCCTCCTCCTCGTCCTCCTCCTCGTCCTCCTCCTCCTCGTCCTCCTCCTCCTCGTCCTCCTCCTCCTCGTCCTCCTCGCCCTCATCCTCCTCGTCTTCCTCCTCCTCGTCCTCCTCGTCCTCGTCATCCTCCCCGTCCTCCTCCTCGTCCTCCTCGTCCTCCTGGTCCTCCTCCTCCTCCTCCTCCTCCTCCTCCTCCTCCTCCTCCTCCTCCTCCTGGTTCTCCTCCTCCTCCTCCGTCTCCTCCTGCTCCGTTCTCCTCCTCCTCATCCTCCTCCTCCTCCTCCTGCTCCCTCCTGTTCGGGGATTTGCGCCGGACCGAGCTGGCAGGGCGCGCCCGTCCTGGCGAGCTGGCAACCGGCACGGCTGGGCGATGCTTCCTGCTGCACCCGTCGCCACGGGGGAGGCGGGCCCTGAGGGAAGTGGGTCCTCGGTGTTTCGCCGTTGTCGAGCTCTCAGGGCTCTCCACGGGCCTGGGGACCGTCAGGAAACGGTTCAGGATGAAGATCTGGTCTTGGGGGAAGGCCGCGTGGTCCATGACCCGTTTCCCTCAGGACCCTGTTCTCTAATGCTAAACCCGAGACTCGTATAATAGACGATGCGCCTTTCTGTGCTCCCAGGGAAAAACATCACTCCTCCAATTTACTGTCATGGCGTTGGAATGAGAGGCCGCTGTGGGCTCAGGAGGGTATCTGGCCTTGCATGTCTCCTCAGGTTCATGTCGAATAACCTATCCAGCTGCCTGTGGCAAACCCCGCCACCGTGCTTGCGCAACAGCGCAGCAGGAAGGAGACTGAATGCAGGAACAGCGCAAATCCGACGACTGGTATGAACAGGGACGGGTCGTGTACTCGACCCTGTCTTCGTCCGCGCGGTAAGGGGGTAGGTCAAGTTCACGCAGTTCAGCGAGCAGCCTGAATTGAGGCGGGTCGTGAACGTGTGCGCCAAAAGGAGGAGGAGGAGGAGGAGGAGGAGGAGGACGAGGAGGAGGATGAGGAGGAGGACGAGGAGGAGGAGGACGAGGAGGAGGAGGAGGAGGAGGACGAGGAGGAGGAGGACGAGGAGGAGGAGGACGAGGAGGAGGACGAGGAGGAGGGCGAGCAGGACGAGGAGGAGCAAGAGGAGGGAGACCTGGAGGAAGACGCCCTCCTCGGAGCACTCGACAGAGCAGGGGCGGACGACGAGGAGGCCTTGCTCCGGGCTGCTCGCCGCCTGCAGGGGGCTCGCCGGGAGGCGGCCGCGGCCCGCCGACCAGCCCAGATCATGCGTTACCCAAAAATTTGGGTAACGGTCGGGAACGACCAGTAGCGACCGATACCGCGAAAATTTGGGTAACGGTCGGTAACGGCACGTTACCGAAAAAACGTTGATTTCGGTAACGGGCGGTAGCGGTCGGTAGCGGATTTTGAACGATTTTAATGTGAATTGTTAAAACCGTTACCGACCGTTACCGACCGTTACCGACCGTTACCGACCGTTACCGATCGATGTTTTGCATCATTGCATTGCAAAAAAACAGACAATCGTCATCATCATCATCATCATCATCATCATGAAGATCATCATCATCATCATCGACATCATCATCATCACCATCATCATCATCATATTCATCATCATCATACTCATCATCATGATCATCATGAACATCATCATCGTCATCGTCATCATCATCATCACCATCACCATTATCATCATCATCATCATCATCATCATCATCATTTTCATCTTCGTCTTCATCTTCATCATCATCTGCGTCATCATCATCGCCATCGTCATCATGACCATCATAACGATTATCATTACCATCACCACCATGGCAACCACAATCACAATAGTCATCATCATCACCACCGTTCTCTTTTCACATCCTTTTTCTCCTTCCGAACACCCCCTCATTGTCCTCCTACTCCTCCCCATCCACTTCATACTCTTCCGTCCTCCCCTCCTACTCCTCCTCCTCCTCCTCCTCCTCCTCTTCCTCCTCCTCTTTCTCCTCCTCCCCGCCTAGTCCTCCTCCTCCTCCTCTTCCTCCTCCTCTTCCTCCCGATCCCCTGTGTCTTTTGGGCCTCCCACTCGGGCCAACAGGACCTCGACGCGCAAGGGCCTCACTCGGGGCCGCATTCCCACGTCGTCCGAAACCGTGAGCAACGTCCAGCGTGGCGAAAGCGAGCAGGAGGAGGAGGAGGGGAAGGAGGAGGAGGGAGGCGGCGCAGGGGGAGAAGGAGAAGGAGAAGGAGGAGGGATAGGAGACGCAGGGGGAGAAGGGGGATGTACCCTCAGGCCCAGATGCAGACTGCGAACTGCGAACTGCGAACTGCGATCATCGAACTGCGAACTCCGAACTGCGATCTACGAAAACTACGATAGAAGACAAACAATTAAGACCGTCGCGATGCCAGGGCCCCACAGGGCCCTCCAGCAACCGCCTGCCAGTGTTCCGAATTGCGTCCAGCGTGGCAACCGCCCATCGGATGGGCGCTAGCAAAACTTAAGAGGTTGGGGTTGCCCGACCCGACACGCAAAGACATCCTGGACGGCCCAGGGCTGCGTCGCAGCCAGTTTCCGAGCCGCGCCCAGCGTTGCGACGCCAGAAGGGGTCGGGGAGGTGGGGAAACTGAACTGTCTGACTGACTGATTGACTGATCAAAAAAGGAGAACGCCGTTTCTAAACGCGTTGCCCGCCCCGCGAGGTGAACGGCAAGCGTGGCAGGGCACAGGCGGAGGAGGAAAGATACACGTGTATACGCACATGCGCACGCGCGACTATACTTACATATGCGTACCCACACCATAGATACGCACATATATGCATACATGCGTATTTGCAAACATGCATGACTAAAAACATGCATATGTTTATACATACATACATGCATGCATACATACATGTATACGTGCATACATGCACACTCACATTTACACATGTGAATGCATAAATACTTACGCGCTTGCACACTCACCTTTACACATGTGAAGGCATAAATACCTCACCGAGATACACCTGGTCATACATGCGCGCGTGTGAAGAGCACGGGGCGAGGCCTGCGCAAAGCCGCTTGGCGAGCACAGCCGCCTAGCCAGCCGAACTGGATTTCAAGCAGGGCCTCCGACGCCGACTACCGCCGTTGACGGCCCCACTCCCAACTTCCCTATCCCCCCTCCCCCTCCCCACCCTCCGCTCCTGTCTCCTCCCGACACCATCCCTCTCCGATCCCCCCTCCCCTCCTCACCACTTCCTCCTCCTCCTCTTCCTCCTCCTCCTCCTCCTCCCTAGACCCTTTCCTCCAGTTGTGAACCCGCCGCCTGAAGGCGCCCTCGGGCGATCGGAGGCAATGCTTGAAATTTGAATGGACTAATCCAAGCAACCGCGCGTGAACTCCAGACCCGCAGCCCCGAGTCAGGGGCAGGCGTAAGTTGATCTACCCGAGGGGCTGGGGGGCGGAGAGGAGGAGGGGGAAGGAGGAGGAGGAGGAGGAGGTGGAGGAGGTGAAGTGGAAGGAAGAGGATGAGGAGGAGGAGGAGGAGGACGAGCGCGAGGGGAGATTCCTAGAATGGGGGGGGGGGGATTGGAAAGGCAGAGGGGTACAAGAGTGGAGGAGGTTAGGAGGAAGAAGAGGGAGCGTGCGAAAAGGAAGAGGGAGAGGGGCGCGACGACGACGGCGCCTCCTCCCCCTCCTCCTCCTCCTCCATCCTCCTCCTCTCCTCCTCCTCCTCCTCCTCCTCCTCCTCCTCCTCCTCCTCCTATCGTCATTCTCTTCGTCCCCCTCCTCCTTCTCCTTCTCCTCCTCATCCCTCCTCCTCGCTCTTTCTAGTAGCCACCATAGGCGCTTTCAAATGGGTAGTGGCAGTTACACGACGAAGTCGTACATATGCCTGCCACACCGTATTCGCTCGGCAAGTTCACAACTCACAGACGAAATAGACGACCCTAGTGCGCACGCGGCCCCCACCCTAGTCACGAACCTCTGGTAGTCCTCCGCCTGGTAACACCAGACGTTCTTGGGGTTCAAGGGGGTCTGGCGAACTAAATGCCAAACCAAATGATGTTTGTTGACAGTCGACCACTTGAGTTTCCGCTGGTCCAGTGCATCCCGCGACAGGGCCTGGTAACAAGTCAAGAAATTGTCGGCTGACCGAATCAATTGCTGGCACTGGGCGTCCGACAGAAACATGTCGCCGTCGGCGATAATCTGATAGATCTGGCACAGGCTCTTGAAGCACAGTGTCCTAGTTTTCCTGATCTGGGTATCATCCCCGTAATCTTTGGATAACTGGTAGCACACTGTGGCCAGATGTCGCGCCTCCGCTGCTTTGATAGTCCTGGACAGTATGGGATAGTCCGAGTGCGGCGAGTCCTTGTTTTTCACAAAAGTGCCTAATCTCAATACCGAGATCCGATGGTCCAGGCCAGCAACTCGATATATATCCTGGATCCTCGCCCAGAGGCGTGCTAAAATTGCTGATCTGGTGCCGTGCTCATGTTCGAACACCACCTCGTAGAGCATATTCGCACAGGCATGACCCGTGACGCCCAAATCCATGCAATGCATGGCATCCAAGGCCAGTGACCGTAGGGTCACCCCCCAAATATCATAGATCGGGTGCGTCACACGATAGACGCGCTCGTGGAACTTCCAATGGTTCGGAGTCTCCTCGGGGAAACGGGGTGGACATTACACTAAGCACCCCCCTCAAACAAGGAGCCCATGGTGGGGGGGGTGGGGGGGGGGGGGAACCATCCTCGACGAAATTGTTGTAGGCATTCTCGCCAGCACCCCTATGACAAGGACAGAGCCAGCAGAATTGGTTATCGCCATGGTAAGGAACCTGCAAGTGCGCCGCATAATAATCCAGATCGCCGAGCACTGCATACAAGAACGCCTTGTAAGGTCTGTCGGGCGAACACAGCCACTGTCCCGCAAGACGGGCCCGATCTGGATCCAACGCCTCACCCTTCCAATCCGCCGCCCCCGCGTTGCCGAGGGATATTGGGAAACCCGCGGTGGTGCCACGGCTGACCTACCTCTTGTCCCACGTTCCTCCTCCTCCGCCTCCTCCTTATAGGCTGTACAGCTGCGTTACCTACGCAGCCTCGAAAACGCACTGGCGGCCGTGCAGGGCAAGAAGTCCAGGGGAGCGGGGTGGCGAAATAGAGATCGGGTGGGTGAGTAGGGTGGGCGGGGCGTCGGGCGGGGGGAGGGGGGGCGTTGGAGTGGGAGGGGCGGCGGCGGGATAGGAAGAGGGCGGGTGGGAGAGGGTGGGAAGAGGGGGTGGGCGGGAAGGGGGAGGTGGAAGCGAGGGAGGGAAATGGGGAAACGGGGGGAGAGAGGACACCGTCTCGAAGGGGCCCGAGTGGGACAAGGCGCGGCCCAACGCAGTGTCGTTTCAGGGGCGCGCAAGTGGGTTAGGCGCAGGCATGGATATTCCTGGTTGGGTGCTTGCCCTGCGCCAAGGCATTGAAGCTCCACCTGAGCACCTTCCAAATTTCAATGAAAGAATCACGGCCATCGTGATGGCGCCCTTTGGCAGTGATGCTATCTGGCCAAGAGGCCATGTTCAGGGTAAGAGACTTCGTTGTACCAACTGCTAATAACCCTGTAATGCTGATCGTCGTCAGGGAGTCG